TCGGCGATCAAGTCTAACATAGCTGGATCTGGAGGAGGGGAACTTAGGGCACCAGTCTTCAATGGTGAAAATTTTGATTTCTGGCAAATCAAAATGAAAACCATTTTCCGTTTGCACGAGCTGTGGGCTTTTGTGGAGAATGGGTACAAAACTCCGATGAAAGAAGAGGAGAAGCTCACGAGGCAGAGAGGAATCTGATGCGTGAGAACGTGGTGAAGGATGCTAGAGCTCTAGGTATTATCCAAGGGGCTGTATCAGACCAAATTTTTCCAAGAATAGCAACTCAGGAAACTGCAAAGGTTACGTGAGATATTCTGAAACAAGAATTTGTTGGAGATAAGCAGGTAAGATCAATGAAACTTCAGGGTCTGAGGCGTGATTTTGAATATACTCGGATGAATGATAATGAATCTCTGTCTGGATATATTGCTAAGTTGTTTGATTTGATCAAACAAATAAAGAGCTATGGTGAGGATCTGAGCAATCAACGAATTGTTCAGAAACTACTCATTAGTCTGCCTAAGTTCTATGATAGTATTGCAGCTGTGATAGAGAACACAAAAGATCTAGACACTATTGATGCTCAGGATGTAGTTACCATTCTAAAAGGATATGAGCAAAGACTTGATAGGCACGGTGACAATAGTGCAGAGGAAGCATTTGCTAGCTTAAACGTTGGATCGAAGTCAGCTCGGTCTAATGGTCACACCAGTAAGTCTCAGAGGAATGTCAAATCATAAGGGCAGCAACGGGGCAACAAGGGTGATGGAGGTAATAAGACTAATTCCTCTTTGAAAAATGAGACAGATAATACTGGGAATAAATGCAAATTTTGTGATAAATTGCACTATGGAGAGTGTTGGCTTAAGAATAAGGTCAAGTGTCACAAGTGTAACAAAATTGGGCACATTGCAAGGTACTGCCATACAAACAAGGTTGTGCAACAGATGAACTTTGCTAATCAAGTTGAAGAAACTGGAAATTTATTTTATGCTAATCACTCTGGAGAGGACGGAAGAAGAACAGGTGATGAGTGGTATATTGGCAGTGGTTGCAGCAACCACATGACATCAAGGGCCGATTTGCTTATGGATATTGATGGAAGGGTGAAAACCAAGGTTCAGGTAAGCACTGGTGCTTTGTTTGATGTGGCCGGAAATGGGACTTTGGTTATTAATACAATGAAAAGAAGAACGTGTATTAAGGAAGTCATGCTAGTACCCGATCTTATAAAGAATCTGCTCAGTGTAGGGCAGATGACTGAGCACGACTATTTCATTGTATTTGGAGATCACAAGGTTGACATCTTCGATGATAATTCCTTAAGCAATATGGTAGTAAGTGTAAAGCAAAAGGGGAACATGTGTTTTCCTTTAACTTTCAACACAATCAAGGAGGTTGCCTTGAAAACAAATGTGCAAGAATGCTCCAAGATATGGCACAAGAGATTTGGGCATTTAAACTTTCGAAGCCTCAAGCTGCTGCATAGTCAAGCAATGGTATTGGGGTTGTCTGAAATCCAAAATGGTGAAGTGGTGTGCCAAGGATGTGTATTGGGGAAAAGTCACAAGGAGTCATTCCCTAAAGAATCAAAATGGAGAGCCAAGGAACCATTAGAACTGATTCATTCAAACTTGTGTGGTCCAATGCAAACACTAAGCGTAGGTGGAAATAAATACTTTATCACATTCATAGATGATTATTCAAGGATGTGATGGGTTTATTTTCTGAGAAACATGTCCGAAACATTTCATGTGTTTAAGAAATTCAAAGTAATGGTGGAACTTCAATCTGGATATCATGTGAAGAGGTTGAGGACCGATCGAGGAAGCGAGTTCATCTCAACTGATTTTATTCAGTTTTGTGAAAATCTAGGAATAGAAAGGCAGCTCACAGTAGCTTATTCTCCACAGCAGAATGACGTTGTGGAAAGGAAAAATAGAACCATTGTAGAAATGGCAAAATGTATGATTCAT